TAGCCTTGGTTAGAAACCGGTGTAGGAGAAAAACTTTAAATTCAAACCAGACTGTAGAATGTTCGGCTCCGTTAGACTATCTTGCCCAATACACGCCTCTTTTACTGACGTAAAATAATGTAGTGCTTCTACAAAAACCGTAAAACTATCTATCCTCCCTCTTATTCTCTCTCTCCTATATATATATATATATATATATATATATATATATATATATATATATATATATATATTAAACAGTAATGAATTGTTAAACGGTAGGTCAGGGATCATCACCAGATGCAGACATTTTAAGAAGTTAAGCTTGGGGTTATTTGAACCCGGTTAAATTTTGAAATTTCTTCTCCCCCACTACTTCCGGTTTCGAAAGTGCTTAAGTTGTTGAGCTCCGTGTAGGTGATTTGCTGAACAGACCACCTGAGTAGAGGCCGAAACCGCTTTCATCCTTTTTATATATATATATATATATATATATATATATATATATATATATATATATATATATATATATATATATATATAATGAAACCGCAAGGTCTGACGAAGGAAATCGAATTTTATCGGCTTCGCGAAATAAAAAATATTACTATGGCTTTCTGAAGTCTCTGATTTGTTAATTAATTATTACTTGCTCGGCTTATTACATTGAGCTCTTGGGATTTATATTTTGCCTAGAATTACCGATAAGGATTACCAATTAGCTTTATCATTATATATATGGTGCATCGGTTTTGGAAGATGCGTTAAAGATTTTTTAAAAATAGAAACTGGAATAAATTACCAAATTCCGAAGGAAGATATTCTTTCACTTATAGAAATATATGCTATAACTTCTCATGACTAAATATATATAGAACAGATATATTTGGAAAAGTGTTTACTTAACGCATAAGAATAAATGATCACCTGCACACACGCGGGCATCTCCATTTTCTTTTCATCAATAAATCAACCTATCTATCCATCTATCAGCACTAACTTACCTGTCATGCCGTCTTCTAAACTACATTTTTTTGTCTACGCAAATTAGCCTTCTAACCTAACGTATATTATTTATTTGACTGAAAAAAAAAGATACTAAATACCCGAGATAGATTTTTCAATTCCGTCCATTCACTGATATAATTAGTAACTCATATCTTGTATTTGGTTTCGCAAGCTTACAGATATTCTCCCCAATCATTTATTGCATCTAAAAATGTGAATATATATTTTTCTAGGGCTATACTTACGATTACATTTTTTCGGTCGGCATGACAACAGATAAAAACAAATGAAAACTCATCAAAATTATGTCTTGTGATATTTTGTCATCAGACAAATATTGCAGACTTGTGTAGGTAAACAGAATAAATATTCGAGAAAATAAGTTTTCTAATTATGTTCTTGAAGTGGACAATGGAAAAGAAGATTTAATTCGGGCACGAAATCTCTGCCATCGGGAGATCAAAGATGTGTAATATTTCAAAAAGTTACTTGGAATGATGGAATAAAAAAGATATATTTTCTTTAGAATTTGGTAGAGTATCTATTGCATTACTAATGAAGATAAAATTTCAGAAACAAGTTTCCTGTACAGTAATTAAATATATTATTACTTACGGAGATAACACTACCCTATTAGTATATATGCATATATATGAATATGCATATATATGCATATATTTATGCATATATATGTACATATATGTATATATATTCATATATACATATATGTATATATATTCATATATACATATACATATATATATGTATATATATATATATATATAAAATATAGAATTAACTTATAATATATTAATGAAAAAATAAGGGATAGAGTGTATGTAAATATAAGAGGAGATGGCAAGAGGGGTGATAGTCTGTTTCATGCGTGAATGCAATATTCAGGTCATCCCATATATATATATATATATATATATATTACATCAAATATGGTTTTTAGAGGATACCCGCATTTGAGTAGAAGCTCAGCTTATTTTTAAACAGTGATTATTTTGGCTGCAGGCCTGCGCATCCTTAAGAAAGCTGTACTTTTAAATGCCGGTAGATGAAATAAATACTGTTTAAAATAAACTTGACGTCTCCTCAAATACAGGTAGCCATTAAATCATTTTAGAGTAATAAAGAAATATTATATATATAGGCAGCAATCCATCTTCCTTCAAATATATATATATATATATATATATATATATATATATATATATATATATATATATATATATATATATATATATATATATATATATATATATAGGCAGATATCCATCTGCCTTTAAATATACGTAAGTAATTATATACAAATTTAAATAAATTTCTATATATACACATATATGTATATATATATATTTATATACACACTCAATTTAAATATATATAACTATATATAACTATATATATATATATATATATATATATATAGTTAGATCGATATATAAATTAAATAAATTAATGTACATAATTTTTACTATTTAATTTAGGTTAATAAAACGTGGTAAAAATTGATACATAATGGCAATTAGGTTTCACTCACCAGCAGTTTAACGTCACTCGAGGAGACACATTTATGGTGTCGAAGCATAATTGCAATTATGTAGCGATTTTTAACTTGTTTTAATATCCTAAAATAAATAATATTTAGCTCTACTCTGTATTAATATACATACACACAAACATATGTGTATATATATATATATATATATATATATATATATATATATATATATGTAGGCAGCTCGCCATCTTCGTTTAAATATTTTTTTATTGGACAAAAGTTTAAGCCTTTTAGCGCTTTTCTCCTGGTGTTTTTTCAGTCGTTTGCTGTCATGTAGAAGCTTTTAAAATTAATTTCCGAATTTTTTTGACGAAATTTTAAATATTGGAATTAAATTTTAATGTTTTTAATTTGTCAAATTTTGTTCATACTTTTGCTGGGCTTACTGGCTTTATTTCAGCAATATTATATTAAACTAGTTAAAATACTAAATAAATTAAAATGCAAAAAAAAACAAAAACAAATAATGAACAAGCAAAAGTAAAAGGGAATAATAATTATGTCTAAGCGCATGCAACTCAATGCACAGTTGACTCCTTTTCAAACCAAACACGTGTTAATTCAGTCCATTCCCCAACTTGACCAGTAGAACTCTAAAAAAGAAGAAGACGAAGAAAAAAAAGTAAATTGTAGAGTGTAATGGAAGAGTCACATCTGTCCAAGTCCTAAGGGTCATTTGATAATAAAAGGAGATAAGTTGGTCTCACAGATGGAAAACAGCGACCATAAAATCTTAAAACCTTCTAGCCATACTGCATTACTAATGGATGGATCACCTCAGTGACTAAATCGCTCACCCCCCCCCCTTGGAAGGGTTAATGGGATACAAATGCAGTTCCGTGTTGTAGACATAAAGTGATTATATTTCTGTTTATTAATGATTTATTCTCAACCACAAACCCACACATTTTCGCTGTTCCCTAGATTTTTATCAATCGTTTTTGGCACGTGGGCAAAACTTTTACAGAATGATTATACCTGGGGTCATTGTCTATCTCAGATGCGTTAGTTTGCCACACATGATAGTCTATCAACGGGGTGCATCAGCTCATTCGTTTACTCGATTGTTTTTTGATGGGGATCAAATCCAAGCCAACTGGCGCTGCAAATATATAATAGTCACGGTGAAAATTGCGTACAGAAAATATTATATTAAATACTCGTTAAATTGTTGCAAACGCAATTCAGCATGAGTCAGTTTAGCATTGTTTACAGTGACATCTCCCTTTAAAACTTCATGTTTCACTGAATTGACAGGCTTACTTGGGAAAGGTACTGGAATGGTGCTCGTTGGCTTTTCTACGGCTTTGATTTCAGACTCATCCTTCTCCTACTTTGGTTGATAATGAAAGCGAACCGAGTTCAAATTCAGGCCTAGTCTGATATCTTCATTTTCGCACTAAAACTCTTAGGATGAAGGCTTTTCTTCTTTTCTGCAGCTATGGTTGAAATACCAGATATACTGTGCTTTGTACACATGAGTGGCAACCAGTCTAAGAGTAGGAGACGAGAAACTCCTTTTTGAATTTCCTCAAGAAAGTATGAAAATCCACAAAGAAAAGAAAAGAAAGATGTGAAAAACCATGATATTCCACTGCCTAGAAGAACATGGCGCTTACAAAATACACAATTGCAATGGTTTGCTGGAGGACGGTGTGAATATCTCATGGGTATTATCAGATTTTAGATTTTTATGTCTGAAATGAGAATTTATGATTTTGTTTTAAAACCTGGAATGTGGTCGTGATATATATATATATATATATATATATATATATATATATATATAATGTTAGAGAAGTGAAAAACATTATATGAGGAGGCGTATTGATATACGCTGAAACACGTTAGCAGTAACAATGTTTAACATGTTTTTGTTTTAATATCCTAAAACAACACACACACACACACACACACACACACACATACATACATATATATATATTTTAAAGAATTAGCTAATCTTTTTTTAATTGGACAATTTTATTATTTCATACGTTATTTTGAGTGAATACCCGTGTTAAAAGTAGACTCCTCATTTCAAACAATGTGTATTATGGCTATCGACCTGCTGACTCGAAAAGTAAAATTATAAAGAAAATGTGTGCTCTGCTGGGGTTCGAACCTGCGCCCGCTTTGTAGGATCCGGCATGCTTGAGACCGCTCGGTCAGAGAGTGTGCCAAATCCCGGCAATATTCTATTATCCATTTTAAAGAATGCACACTCTCTCGTTTAGCCTTTACTGGAAAGCCTAGAACTGCACAGTTTCGTATCAGAACAGATGACATAACCGGAAAAGGCTCTTCAATAAGATAGGATCCATTGCTACAAAACTGCCATTTAAATAAAAAACTCGATGGCAGTTTGCAACTACACATGGAGAGAAAGATCATCTTTTCCTCCATGTGTAATTTCAAACTATAATCTTGATGTTTTATCTAAATGTCGGTTTGTAGCTGTGGTTTCTATCTTGCTGAACAGCTTTTTCCGGTTAGGACAATATCAAACTCAGTTTGTTGTGGATGCAGAAACGTTTGCACCCGATTCTTTCAGAATTTTCGCAAATACATAATACATAATGTTCGATGAATATATGCATTTTTCACTCCCACTTACGTTCATCTCCTGAATACAAAGACTTTAATTTTCTGAAATCTGTGATGGTTTCATTGTACCAAAATATTTGTACTTGTACAGAGAAACATATTCAAGAAACTTGCTGCCAAGGATTAAACAGACATTTCTTGTTGTTTTGTCTGCTGTCTTTTTGATGTCAAACAAAGAGGACTTGTAATACATTTGAAGTTAGGCTTTTAAATAAATCAGCAGAAAATCAAAGGAAAAGCGTTTGATATTTTCCTTTAAGATGTGCTATGGTAATAACTTTCCACGAGGTTTTTCGTGACAGTGTCATAATCGACCTAAACTAGCGATATTTCGATATAGTCGCCATTTTCATTTCGGTGTGATATTCATTCCTTTAATAATGGCTGCAAGCATGTATTTTCTTAAATATTTTTGCTTAAATATTCTTTCTATTCTCTCTCTCACTCTCTCTCTCCCCCTCTCTCTCTCTTTCTCTATATATCTCTCTAACGACAACATAAGAAAAATTTAAATATATTACTGCATAGCACCTTATTTCTTTCAATCTGCCGACATATTCACATGTATCGGGACAATGTGTGCAGTAAATATGCGAACCAACATTTTTTTTAATTTCTGCCCCCCAGTAAATCAGAGTCAGGGCTCTGAATTAGCGCTGTGTGTGGGCAAAATCATCGCAATACTATAGCGTCTTGTCGTGCGGTTGGTAGCTCTTTGAAGAAATTTTGTATCCATTTCATTTGGAGTGGGCCTCTAGTGTCAAACAAATCAGTTGGCCCGAAGTATTTTATTTAGTAAGGGGTTTGCAGCGGACAGTATTAAGATATCTTTGTTGCAGCGTAAATTCTGATAAAATGCTAAGTCTCAACTTAAAAGAATTTGAACTTAGTCAATAATCTTTACTAACGAACCAGAAACTAAATAAATCTTTCTAATTAACCTGAACAAAAAACAAAATAAAAGAACTAACATTTTTCCCCAATCTAAAAGCAGCTTATCAAAATTACAGTTTAGTTTGTTTACAATCTGTCGGAAGGGCAACATAAGACGTCCTAGTCACAGAACATTGAAAGCTGTTTTTTTAACATCACTTTAAAGAACCAACCAATTGTTTATCAAGTGTTTGATGTTGCTTATTCCGGCATACCATAACATCAACCAGAGTTATAGGGATTGTAAGGAGAACGAACGATGTATTTACTGTCTTCATAATGACATGTACAAAACAGACAAGGATCCTCTTTTAAGCAAAGCTCATTCTAACAATCTGTATTTTATTTCATAACATATATTGTAATTTTTGTTATATCAATCTTATTTTCTACCGTTGTCGCATCTGTATTTCCATCTGAAATTATTCTTCAAATAACGAACAACTGATATACATTGATAAATCGCTGTCTTTTCCATTTCGCTTTGAATAAGTTCTCTTTTATCTGATGATATAATGACATTTATCTCTCTCCCAGAGCACTAAATACTCTCTCTCCACACACACACAGGATGTCAGAATTTGCTATAATAGTAATTATCTCTCAACAGTATATTTATTCTTAACCAATTTCACTGTAGCTGAGACTACTCGGAAGGTGACGATCACCTATCTGTCACAGGTGACCAGCACACAAGCTGGTATATGACCCAGGATTCGGTTCCTTTTATAAGAGGTGAAAGCACAATGTTTATGTAGACACTTGTTTCACAGATAAATATATGTATTAAAGTTCAGAACTATAGCAGCATGTTTTGCGTATTTACAAAATATATATGTAACTTTCTGTCAAGTTGGTAGCTACATTTAATTATTTAACACCCACAGAGTTAAATATAGAATTGAAATACATTTCTTATCATTTAAGTGTTGCCGATTATATTTTCTGCATGAATAAACGAGGATTATATGTGTAAAAATCAACACTTTTGATGCATATAAGAATATAATTTTTATTTTGAAATCAAGAAATGTATCAACATCCAAAGAAATCTAACACCAACGGACATTAGCGCCATATTTTTACTATTTATGAAACTTTTAGTTATATAAAAATGAGGAATATTCATTTATTAGCATTGAGTAATAACACTTTTAATATGACATCGAAATATCGCTGTCGCAGAGATCAGCCTGCATAATTATACACATAATATCTAATTCCCTTTTTTACATTATAGAATAGATTTTATATTTTAGTTCCTCTTTGCCCCATTTTTAATATACAGTAATTACCCATGTATAATCCGCCTTCATCCATGATACGCACCCGTCAATTTGTGCCGAAAGTGTGGGAAAATACTTCTAATCACGCATAATACGCTCCCCTTATTTGGTAATCAAGCCCTATAAATTGTACCTCTACAATTTCATTACGAAAAGGGTTTCCTACTCTTATTTTAAAAAAAAATATTTTAATCATAGAATAATATTATTGTAAATTAGTTTTATGATAATTCTTATTTTATTTTACATTTTTAAGTATTTTTAGGTACATATGATTGTATTTGACATCCTTATGGGGTCGCAATCACCGAATGTTAGTGTCAAATTGTCGTATGTTTGTGGTCGCAACTGAAATCGATATATGAAACAGCAATTATTTCAAGATTTTTTTGCCTATTTGCTTATTATTTTTTTTTTAGAAAAATGCGTATTATACATGGGGAATTACAGTAGATTACTTTTTACCATAACTTATATTTCAATAGTGTGAACACTTGTGTTGGGCTATACAGAATTAATTCCATTTATTACATACAAGTGACGTTTTAAAACAATTTTGAAATTAATTTTATCCCCAACATAATTATATTTAATTTTGGTACTTACTTACAATAATAATTCTCTTCTCTATCGCCAGCTTCTGCTCGTCTAATCGTGAATCAGTTAGTCTATTTGAAGGAGCTCTTTATAAATGACACTCTTCCAATCCTAACATAGACCATCTTTATTCTAAGTGCTATTAGACACCCCTGTGGAGAATAGGGCAAACGCATCTATACGCTAGGCACTGTTACTCCGAATTTTGTAACTAGTATGTCTTCCCGGCGTGAAATAACTAAGCCCCTGGTCAAATCGGTTTTGAATTGAACTTTTCGAAAGAACATAGAATTGTTGCATACTTTGCCAAGAAATCGCCAAACAGCCTTTTCTAGCAATGAATTCAGAGATTTCCATCTTGTGAAAATGAAGGCAATAACCTCGAGCGTAATTTGAACTCAGCAGAGCGATTTGATTTTGGGCGTTTATAACCGCTACAGATACGGACGCATCCAACATATATACAGAATTACTTTTTTAATTGAAGAGCAGCCTTTACTACGGTTAATAATGGGTCATTTTGATTGCTCTACGAGAATTACTAACAATCCATAGCTGGCCCAGATAATCTTCGCAGTTTGATTCAAATATTCCATTTGTGTTGAATATCTGTGCATAGAATAACGTTGATTATAATGTTGTATACCCACCTCTGTTCTGGGGAGGGATTTTGATTGACGGGGTCAATTTCTCAACAAAGCTGCATTCTTCTCGCTTGACCGTCTTCTCTCTCTCTCTCTCTCTCTCTCTCTCTCTCTCTCTCTCTCTCTCTCTCTCTTCTGGAGAGGTTTTATCTAATCAGCGCCAAATAAGTAAAATGTTGTATACTCTTCCTTGTTGGAAGTGGGTGTTGGTTTGTATGGAGATAAAATGAGAACTTCAAGAAAAGGGATTTTTAAACTTATCTATTTTATTAACATTTCTAACTAGTCAGTGGGGTCGCTCTATCCTCCATACTGGGAAGCAAGTTCCACGAGACAAGAAATAAGCATGTCTAATTTCTTTGACGTGTAAAACTTAACTACTCGAAAACACTCTCTAACATTTCCACGTTCGGCTCAACCAATCAAAATCAAGATCCATATTTTGCCTAACATCTATCATTAAGGCCAGTCTCAGAAGGTCTGAGCCAAATACACTGCCACTAAAAAATAATAGTCCGAAACTATTATTTAACATTTAAAAAACAGTTGTAGAGATTTATTTGATATCGACACCAGTTATTCCGCTTGAAAATGGTACATATTTCTGCGAGTAATCAGCACCATAAAACGTTGGAAAACATCTTCAACATCACCTATTCATATTAATTTCTGTACAAAATGCATAAACCGTCTTCTTTTAAATTCTTTTACATTACTTGAGTCTTCTGTTGAAATTTCAAAGGAAAATAACAACTACAGCCAATAAAATAGCCTGTTTTGGGGGTAATATTCCATTTTAGAAGTAATAAAAAAATTTTCGCAAAGTTTTAGAACCTGAAAATTTATATACCAGTTGTCAAGATACACCCAAAAATCAACATTTTTGATGTAGTCAAAACGAAAGCATCTCAAGCCATCTAACAACAATAAACAATAAGCTACTATGAGATAATACAACAATAATAAAATACATTATAGCGCATAATAGATCCCATTACATTAATTATGAATAAAATAGTATTCATTATTTCATGTTCTACGGCTTATCAACCCTTTGCAGATTATTTAGAATTAGATAATATTTATGGTTTATAAGAATTTTTTCTTTTGAGATAATAATAATTTAATGATACAAGTCTTTACTAATTAACACGTAGGTGATGGGAGAAGAGGTGGATTCATACCTAATCAGAATTTAATAAACAAAAAAATTATAATTTGAATATAAATTAGGGAATTAGTTCTATACTGCATCCAACAGAAAAAAAATATATCACTCACTTTGTGATCACAGTAGATTCTATAGATTTATATTCCAGAGAATGTAAATAAATCTAAAATATATACCTTTTTATCTAATCAGTATTTGATTGATTGATTCATTCATTTTTTACGGCTTATCAACTATTTGCAGGACATTTTAGATTATAAAATTATTTGTTTTGTTTTTTTTTTGTTTTTTTTTAGATAATAATGATCTAGTGATAGAGGTCTAACTAATTAACCCATAGCTTGGGAGAGAAAAGTTGGGTTCATAATTTTCTCAAGGGTATTTGCTTGCAAGTGAATCTAACGGGAATTGGAACTCGGCTCTCCAATTAAAAAAATTAAACTATTATCCATCACGCCACACGTACATCTAAGCATACAGTACCTGGTATTTCCAGGCTGTCGCCCATTTAGATACTGACCAGGCTCGACGTTCCTTAACTTCGGTAATCGTACGGGTATGAGTGTTTCAACGCTATATGTCCATAATAAAATGAATAAAAATAGAAAGCAAATCATATTAATTATAAATATAAAGGGAAATCTATTTTATTTAATAGGGATAGTAGGAGGCACCATTTATGAATAAAAAGAAAGACCGAACGTATTGAATATGAATACAAAGAGAGACTTATAGTATTGAATAAGAATAAGCAAGACTTATCGTTTGGTTTATGAATATATATAGAGAGAACCATCCTATTATATATGAATGCAAAGAGTCAGTTATCATTAAATATGTATAGAAAGAGACATCTTATTAGAAATACAAAGGGAGACCTAAAGTATTGAATAAGATTTCAAAAAAAAGAGCCAGCTTATTTAATTCGAATACGAAGAGAGATTCATCGTATTATTTATTGAAATCAAATGAGAACCACCATACTGAATATTAATACAGTGGTACCATCGTAATAATTATGAATAAAAAGAGAAAATTAACATTGCTTACGAATACAAAGAGAGACATTCTTTGGATTATGAATATAGAGAGAGACCTATTCTATTATATATGAACAGATAGAGAGACCCATTTTATTAAATATAAACACGAAGAGAGACCATCTTATTAATCATGAATAAAAAGGGAGACCTATAACACTGAAAATGAATACACATTCTAGTCAGTACGAATACAAAAAGACTTATCGTATACAGAGACCCATCGTATTCATTATGAATATAAAGCAATATACCCCGTATTTTATATATTTATATTCGTAAAGTGAGACATCGTATTATGGAAAAAAGATATATGCTATATTTATTAGGACTAGAAAGAGGGAAATGTCGAAATAATACACTAATCTAAATAATAATTCAAGTTATTCATCTACATACATATTTTATCATTTCACCTCAAGCATGTCATTAAAGATAATAAATGTTAAGTTTTACTGATTGCAAAAGAATATGACAAAATATCATTAAGAAGAAAGAGAATTAAACGAACAGGAATTAAGGATAAAAAAGATGGTGATTGACATTGCATTGAAACTTTTGAAGATCAAAGTTAATTGGAAATTGAAAAGCTGGAATAGATTTCCACAAGCCTGAAATGCGAGAGAAGGATTGGTTTGGTTTCGTTTGGTTTATTTTGTTTTACGGCATATCAACCTCAATGGGTTATTTAATGCCGACAAAAAAATTTATTTCTGGTAATATTTTGTTTTGTCAAAAATCTGTTTCTGGTAATATATTTCCTTCAAAATTGTATTGCTGGTAATAAATATTTTTTTAAAAAGTATTGCTGGTAATAGTTAACTATTTGCCCATAGCTGGGACCCTAACAGGTGCTACCACACCGGGACAGGGTGGACCCGGGAACAACAGCAATTACGAGGTGGTTCCACACTCCTCAAAATCTCCTGATCAGAGGCCTTGCTGCTGGACGTAGTTTAACGTCTTACCCAGGACGACAAGCGAAGGAATTATTATCATAGAACTTACGATTATATCTAGCAATTTGCACTTTAAATGATGAGACCTAGTTGATAATCTAGCAATACACTTAAATTTATAAAGTTGCTACCAAAGAGATAATCTCATTAGAACAATTGCTATGGAAATGTTTGGAAGAAGACACAGGGAAGTTACGTCACGGTAATGGGAATATAACTGAAGCCGATATACCAGGTCAAGACACGTAAGATTACAGAACCGTCTTTGGATTTTGTCAAGAATCTCTGAATACAAAGCAAAAGCGTCAGGCCAGATGTGACAGCAATATTCAATTGATAGACGAATGCCAGAGGTATAAGTATGTAAGATAGATTCTGGCAAGGAAAATCGGATAGCTAGCAACTGATTTAATATAATCATTCCATTTCATGCTAGTGGAAAGGATTAGTGAACAAAGGTGCAATGCGTCATTCGAATGGAGTTTAGCATCAGTCATATTGAAAACAAAACAAACCATTAAAAAAAATACTCAATTGTAATGTAATATCGATCCTACTATACATCAATAAATATTGGACAATCTTATCATAGTTGAAGAAGGAACTTAAATCAACGGAAATATAGTTTTACCGACGAATGCTGAGAATAACATGGGACTGAACATGTGAATAATGATGAAGTTTTAGGGAAAATAGAAACAAAAAGTACATTAATACTTAGATTGAGAATGAGATAATTGAACTTACTAAGGTACATAACGAGGAAAGAGAGCTTAGAAAATTTGATACTCACAGGACATATACTTACAATCATGTTTCCTTTTTTTTCCTGGCGCTAAGGGTCAAATATCTGTAATTGTAGAATCGGGTCGATTACAAATTTAACATGAGCTTTTAATGAAATATAATCGGGGACTAAATTTATTTTAAGTCTTAAATGGAAATATTAACTACACTCGTGAAAAAACAATTGTTTTAATTCTTTTGTCAAACTTATAATAATATATAAATTATTCATTTTCATGTCTGTAAGGTTCAATTTTCTGTAGTAATTTTGAGCAGAGGCGGAATGATTTCAAATTTTGAAAAATAGCTGATAATTAAATATAACATATATTCAATACGGAAGCTCATAATGAAATTATTTCATGACTTAAATTTAAACAGTAACTAAATTTTCTTGTACATTTTAAAAATATAATTGTTTAATTCTTTTGAAGAAATTCCATAATGACCAAAAAGCATATGTATTCAGCATGCTTGTAGCAATTTCCTATCATACAACATGGAAATTATTTCTCGTTAACGGTTAACACAAAACCCTGACCTTACAACTAATTAATATTTTCGTCATTTTTTTTCTTCTTCTTCTTCTTCTTCTTCTTCTTCTTCTTCTTCCTCCTCCTCCTCCTCCTTCTTCTTCTTCTTCTTCTTCTTCTTCTTCTTCTTCTTCTTCACCCCCACATCTTTTACAGACACAGGTTAGAAAGATTACTCGCCATTTGCTTCTGTCCCTCTTATGCTCTGTCAGTGTCAACTTTCGTCATTATGCGTCCCAGAACTTTGCAATGTCTCTTTTCGATGTTAAATATAAGTTTACTTCTTGTTTCTCTTTTCCTTAAAACTTCATCGTAGTTTCCATGCTCTGTCTATTGTATTCCCAGCATCTGTAGAATCACATATCTGTTGTCTCAAGTCGCCTTTTTTTCTATCAGAAAATTATCCTGCATTATAGAAGAATTGATATTACCTAGGAGTTCAGTACTCATCTTTATTTATAATGTAATTATCCTGTTTCTTAATACTTTGTTTGGGTTCAACTATCGTCCGGTTCACATCCGTCCTCTATTTTTTGAACAGGAGCTCTACTCCTGTTCAAAAAATAGAGGACGGATGTTTCCTTTGTTTCATGCTTAGGATTGAGCATTCCGTTCCTTCAATCTGCTTCAGCTCCTAGACTCCTAACTCTTGTTCTTTCCTACGCTAATCTAAGTCCACAAATTAATCCTCTAATTTCATTGGCTCTTGTGCCCTATATTGGCCGGAGATTAGTAAGAATTTTAAAAAAATGTGGAAAGCTCCATTTTCTTATCAAATGCGCCTGGAGTTTTCTGTGTTACATATTCCGTCAAGTGTTAAAATATTCCCCAGATATTTGAATATTTGATATTGACATTTTCATGAGACAATAAGAGATATGGCAGAAGCAATACCAATCATACAACACATCGAACGACAGAGGATCAAGTGGTTCGGACACCTGAATCGTATGCCTATCAACCAACCAATCCTACGAGCATACAGCCTCCAGTACTCTGGGTGGGGAGCGAGAGGCAGACCAATAAGACACTGGAGAGACTCAGTGGCAGACACTCTCAGAGCCCACGAGATTATCTCACCTGTGTCTCCCCGCAACGCCTAACAGCACAAGCGGATGGAAAACAAAACAAACAGATATTGACATTTTCAGTTTATAGCTCACGTGTAAGGTTGTATCGTTTGCTGACAAACTTCGATTCTGTCTTCTTTTAATTGATAGGCATTTCTTCTCCCTTTCCTTTATTATTTTGTTTAGAGGTTCCTGCAGTTTTTTTTTCTGTGTCTACCATCAACACACTGACTCGTATATTTTACGCTATAATTATTTCTTAGCTGTTATTATTTCTTGGATTTTCTTCAATAAGTCATCGTTTATTAGGCATCAATGTCTGTTGATGTTTATCTACCTATATCTTCACATGAGTCCTTGCTGTGTGTTTTTCTTCGTTTCTCTTAACTCTATTTCATCCAGATAACTTCCTTAGTATTGTTCCTTGTATTCTTGAACTTTTCGATACATTTTCTTCTCCTTTTCACTTCATTCTGTCAAAATGGATATTCTTTTTTCCTTCACTTCTGGACTTTCACTCTGTAATCATAATTATTTTTAATTATCTCTCTGAACTTACGACTTTATTTTTCTTTCGTTTTATCCTTCTTTCTTTTGTCTTTCCAACACTTTCTTTTTCTATCTCCTTTACCTTCATTCATTCACTCTGTTCTTTTTCCTCATATGTTTCAATTTTCAGCCGAGAGTCTTTGCAATTTCTTCCTTCATATCTCTCTTCTTCGGTTCGACTCATGTACATAAGCTCCATTTATTTTCTCTTCGGGATAACACGACGCTATGCAGACAAGCACGCAGATTTATGTATGGAAACACTTCGCTAGGATGCACGAACGGGAAAAGGATATCAGTTGCAAACTTGTGTGAACGAAAGAAAGAAAGAAAGAAAGAAAGAGAGTAGATGTAACTCTAGAAAGGGCAAATAAATCAAAGGGTCAAAGCGTGAGAAAGAAAGAGAAAGAAATAAGATCGACTGAGAATAGTTATTCAAGTTTGTGTTGATAAATGTTTTAGCGTAATTCCCCATGTATAATAGCCTTCAGCCATAATACGCACACCTAAAATTGTGCTGAAAGTGTGGCAAAATGCCTCAATTTATTCATAATGCGCACCCGTTGTTTAGTAATCAAACCCTATATATTCTACCTCTCCAATTTCCTACTCTTATTTAAAAATGGTTTTTAAAATAGGATAATATTATCCTAATTTAGTCTTATGAAAATTCTTATTTTATTTTAGGGCAACTTTTAAAAGATTTTTTGTAGCTGTGCATAATACGCACCCCTGATTTTGCTTATTATATTTTTAGAAAAAAAAAGCGCATTATACATAGGGAATTACGGTATGTATATTTTGTAGCGACTCATCACCAAACATTAAGTATAAAGGTCTATGGGATTATGGGATTATATATATATATATATATATATATATATATATATATATATATATATATGGGGGTTCGTTCAAAATGTAGGGTAAGAAATAACTTTTATTTTCATTTCCGTTATCATGTGTTATTAAAAGTTTGCTTTTTGCGGACAGAGTGTGTGAAGCAATTTTCAATCTTGTTGATCTTCCTTGAGTGATTTTCTCGAGTTAATACTTTAAACATTTTCAAGAGCGGGCGTAATTTTTCATGGTAATAATGACTAATAATACATATTGTTTTCTATAGAGTGCTTTGTGAACAAAATATACCAGTATTTTGCTTTTTAGCGGAATTTTGCTTAGTTCTTGAATACGGTCAAAACAATCTAGCAGTGTTCATGCACTGTGCTAGTAAGTGAATTTGGCTCTGTGTCCATATTTGAAAAACTCACAATTCTGTTAATTTTTTACGAAGGATGCAAGAATGCTTCCAGATATTCAATAAACGAGAAATTCAACAAATACTTTCAATGTTTCTGTTGTGGGAAAATGATTGTAAGGTGGAAAAGAATTCATCACCCTAAAGGCCGCGTAGACCATGTTGGACTCTAGTAAGTTTGCACAATTTTCACTTTCTAGACGCAGCCATATCAATGATGAATTGTTTTCCACCTAACATCCTGTTTTCCAAAGAGGAAACATTGCAAGCCACTCGCTACTCTAACACTATTTTCATAGAAAATATTTAGACGAGGTCCAAATCTTTCTTTCTTTCACACAAGCTTGCAACTGATATCCTTTTCCCGCTCTTTCATCTTAGTGAAGTTTTTCAATACATAAATCTGCGTGCTTGTCTGCATAGCGTCGTGTTTTCCCGAAGAGAAAATAAATGGAGCTTATGTACATGAGTCGAACCAAAGAAGAGAGATATGAAGAAAGAAATTGCAAAGACTCTAGATTGAAAATTGGAACATGAGAGGAAGAAGAACAGGTGCTACCACCTCAGGTCAGGGTGAACCAGGGAACAATAACAATTAATAGGTGGCTCCACGCTCCTCAAAACCACCCAATCAGATACATTGTTGCCAGATGTAGTTTATCGTCATACCCAGGACTAATCTGACTATTTGGCTATTTAAGAACGTGACTTGAGTCAGGTCTATATTTTGATTTTGTAAACACTTCCGGTGCTGGACTAAAAGTAATATTAGCGTAACCTATATTATCAATATACTAAAATTATAAAAATGATCCCTAAATAAATATATATTAAAGCTTTAGAATTTATTAATCCTATATTTTGGATTTTTAAGATGGATTTACGATGTCTCAGTATTTTCAATCCTATTACATTTCCTGTTCTTGAACACCCATTTTAAATATTTAAAAAAAAAAACGTTAAAATGAAAAAATGAACTGATGATATTTTCTCCAAAGAGATAATAAAAAATGTTCATAAGTCTAGTTTCATGCACACACTAATTGGTTCGGTAGCAATCCTTTCTTATTGTAGAGAAAAAAATTAGTAGTACTGAAAATTCAAGGAAAGCTTGAGTCTGTCCAGAAAACAGCTGGCATAAATACTGAGGTAAGGACTGAAGATATGAAGAGATGTGCTGTCACTCGATTCTTAAAGACAAACACCAGATGCTTCTGCTATGAAGAGAAAAATGGAAAGAATGTCAGTAACATCAGCAACGGTAAGAATCATTTAATGCAAAAAGAAGAAATTCTGCAAACAATTAGTCGTTCGTGTGGTGAAAAATTTTTAAAAAATTGAGACGTTAAATAAAGTGACATATCAAGCGTTTGGTGAAAAGCTGTTTTGAATTGTAAACCATGGTGAAATCGGTCATGTCGGCCATGATGAAGCGTGGGAAAATGTCTCGAATAATCGAACAAAGAACTTTTTAGAATTTTAAGAAATTGAGTGAATTTATATAATTTTTAAAATCATTTCACTCCAGGCAAGGCGGGAATGCCATTAGCACGCAGGGAATTACAGAGAGTGAAAATAAGAGAGAAAGACTGGTTATAGGGTGGGTGAGGAAAGGATAAAAGATGAACGATATTCAAGAAGATGGCGATTGACGTTGCATTTACATTTTTGAAGATTTTAGTTTTTAGGAAATCAACTAAACGGAAGGTAGTTCTGCAGTCGAGAAGTGCGAGAAAAAATAATGTTGGGGTAGAAATAGCATTTAACTATTTCAAATAAAGGTTGGGACCTAGATTCCAATCTAGTGACAAGATTAAATTCACGTAGACGAGGCACCAGGAAAAAAAGCGCGAAGAATAGTTACCATGAAAATATTTGTAAAAAAAATAGGAAAGCTACGTCATGTTGGTGAGAAAGGGACTAATGTCGAGATGCCAAATGAGCATCTGCTATAATGATGACAGCCAGAGATATTTGCAGTTGATAAGAAGGATAATAATGATAACAATGGCAGTAAAAACAGATATAAGAATAATCAAAGTGAGAAAATGATACGACTAATAACATAGCAATATTAATAATATCATTATTAGTGATGATGAAATGCACAGAAAGACATTCCTAGGAAGCCAATTAGAAATACAAATGATTCTCCTCGTGTGCACCGCTCACATAATACGAACAAATATAATGTACCCAAAAACCTTTTGAGATAATCCTTTCTTTACATAAGATCTGCGGTAAAATAATTGGCTAAATATTGTATCAAAATATAATAATATACCCAATAAAATTTAAAGAAAAACAGTCCTTTAATTCATGCAGTAATAATAATAATAATAAGAATAATAATAATAATAATAATAATAATAATAATAATAATAATACCACCCAGACCCGGTTACGGAGATAGGACCTGTAAAAATTTATGGGACTACACAATACACACTGACAGAACAATCAAGGCCAACCGCCCAGATATTGTTATTAAAGACCACAAACAAAAACGGTGCCTCCTTATTGATATGGCAGTCCCTGCTGACTACAATATATCTTTGAAGATATTCAAAAAGCTATCAAAATACAAGGACCTTGAAATAGAAATCTCGAAAATGTGTGATATGGGAACATCAACAATCCCTGTTGTAGTTAAAGTCCTAGGATTGGTTGGAAAAGATTGCAGAAGACTAATTGAAGGGATTCTTGGAAGTCCATGCCTCAAAGAGATACAAAAACTTGTTCTGACAAGTACAGCTCACACTTTACGAAGGGTTTTATCTATGTAATATTTTTTTTTGTCAGTGGAAAGTGTCATGATGCCATATCTAACCTTAGGTCCCTGGGCGGGACCCGGAAAGAAATGTGTAAACGCCAGAAATCAAAGTAAATAATAATAATAATAATAATAATAATAATAATAATGATAATGATAATGATAATAATAATAAACAAATCTTGTAAATATTCATTCTTTTCTTTGTTAAATACCGCGAGCATTTACCTTTCGTGAATTAATTATAATTAAGAAAATTGTTTCAATTTCATCCTTTATGTTTTTTCCCCAAGGAAATTAATGCGAAGTAAAAGAAAATCATTTCAAACGTAATTTGAAACGTGATAGCTAATTTTATTTCGATGATATTCAATGTAACAAGAAAATGCCACCGTGACACCGTCCTTTAAATATCTGTTACATTGTCGTTTATAATTAGGTTATTTCCAGTATATATTCCATGAAAAATACATCATTTTTCTTTGCTTTTGTTATTCTTGGAAGCTTTGTTATATTCGCTTTATGAAACCAAAAGTTCCCACCAGCTATTGAACAAATTATGTTCAAATTATTCTTGGAACTAGACAAATGGTCCCAACAAGTAAAATACTACTACTACAATTAATTATTATTATTATTATTATTATTATTATTATTATTAGTTACCGACAAAGATTAGCTAAAAATGAGTATAGAGGATGAACAAATATTCAAAACTTAATAAAAACAAAGTGTTACCCTCAAAATCTTTCTGTTATCATTTAGTGGAAAGACCAAAGGATTTTCTTATATAAAAATATTTTTAAACCGTTTTTGAGCCTTTGAAATTTTGGTTAAAAATCTTGCGACTTCTGGTTATGGAGCATGATAAAAGATCGCGTGTAGAACAGGATAAAAGGTGTAATATCAAACATTCCCCGTGAAATGTTTGTCAAGGCTCTAAATTGTACTGTTGATTGCTGGTTTTTGGGCATCTGTCGTGCTGGTTGACAGGTGAAGACTGTTCAGTAAACTCTGAGTAAATGATTCCTCTCATACTCGTGTTAACATAATTTTGACTCATCTTATATATATATATATATATATATATATATATATATATATATATATATATATACGCACAAATTATGGAAAAATGGAAAAAAGCTGTTCTTCAGATGTGTTTCGCCGATCAAACAGCGTTTTCTTTAAAGAATTCAGTGAAACAATCAAAGATGGAGG